TATTTAGTTATTATTGTTTTTGCTGTTTTCATATTTCGTTTAAATATTTCGCCTATTGTTTACCCATTATATGCTCGTCCTAAAAGTAATATTAATGATCCCCAGTAGTATTGCGTTACGATTAATAAATTAATAGCTCGTCTCTGCTTCCAGCCCGCGGCCATTTTATAAAAATGTATTTGATAAATAAGCCACTGGTCTAGAGTTGCAGTGTATAATTTTTTTTTTCAGCAATAAATCTCAATATATTATATACTTGAAGAAATATATGACCGACCATACGTCGTGTAATAATATATAATATATAGAAAATATTCGTCTGTGTGCATTTTTATACAACCGCTAATTCTGTTATAACTGGAAAGAAAATTTAAAATTTAAAATAATGGTGCGTATATGACTGTATTATTGGCTTTGTTCCGATCCCAACCCAACAACTCGTCGTCCATCGTTCGGCCACAGCTCATTTCTATCGTATAATTATTCTTTCTGGACAAAACAATTAATTGAAAAATATTAATAGCCCACTATCAATAATTTGTGTATAAGTGCGAGCAATGGCCAAGGTTAGGTTAGACTGCGAAAAAAAAACTCAATAATCTGACTAAAAGCTCACCACGTTTTTTTCAAACGCTGTTCTGCAGCAGCTGAGTGGTTATTTAGTTTACATCAATGTGTTTTAATGCAATCCAAATAAGACTAAAACCAATAAGTACACAACAATTTGAAATTTCATACCAAACGGAATATTAAACTCGAAATGGTTTTCGTACAAACCTTTGAATTCTGCAAAACGCTCTAGGTAAACAAGGCGCATACACAGACAAACTTTGTGGGTTTTTCATCAAAGACATGGGAAATATAATGCTGTTATATTATATTAAAATAATTAAAAATAAAATGCATACACACTTATGAAGGTGTACTATTCAATCTTAACCGACAGCGTGTGTGTTCCGAACTCTGAACACTTACCATTAGTGTAATGTAGAATATTACAGTGTTTCAAGTGTGGAGTGGTTTTGAAGTACCCCAACCCCGAAAACTTCTTTACCGATTTAAATGGAAATAATATTTGGTGTCACGCATAATAATTCGTTCTGCGCTACATTAATCGTCCACAGATTAACGTAGGCAACGTCCTCCTTATATAGTTGTTATTTGCGTTTTTTTACAATTACAGATTGTTTGCCTATAATCACTCAATCTGTGTATTGAATTTTGTGCAGTTTACACATAATATGCAGTATACTTCAAACATTTCAAGTACGATTCAAACGTATATCACAATTATTATTGTGCAGAGGTACAATAGGTAGTATTTATTTCGTGATAGAAAAATACAAAATGATATAATGAATAACGGATAGCTTATATTATACAAATAAATGTAAAATAAAATAAAATATAGACAACCTAACATAACATTATGGTAGTATAACATAGCATTAACACATTTTAAAAATGTAATAATATGCTATGAAGTAAAATAGTAATGTAAAATAATTATTATTACTTATTAGTATTTTTCTTTCATTGGTATCTTGGATCTACATAATTATCCAAATAATTTTTATAATTGGTTTTTACAGTATTGAGGCAGGATTATAGAGTTTTGTTTTAAGTCCATTTTGGTTCAAGTAACTGAGAATTCACAGCATTTAAGTAGGTATGTTAAATTGTATGCCCTCCCCCGCGTACTCACATTGCAATATTGGACTGATATGTGTTCCAATTAATATTCTCAGTTTCTTCCACCAGATCTTTGTTTTGAAAATAGATAATAAATAACAATAACACACAGATATATACTATAAACTAGATTACTAATTGCGATTTTAACCGAGGCTAATGTTCGTTATCCTTATCACTTGTGTTTACGAGATAACATTAAATAGTTTGTATTTGTAAAAATAATCTATACTTATTATCAACCATTTTATCATGTTATCAACATTGAATAGGTGTGATAAAATCCCATTGGTCTCATTTTAAATGGAGGATTTTAGCTTCACGTATTATTATAGTTAGCCATCTAGTTTATTCTATATACCTATATGTGCATTAATATGACTCATATATGCACGCGTTTGAGCTAATGTTTTATTATTGAAATCCACAAAGACACAAAATAATGATAATATTATTTCTATTATATTACCTCTATCACTGTATTTATAGTACTTACAATGTATTAAATTGGTCATATAATTTTCGATATAACATAATTATACCGTAAAAGCTAGCTATAATTTCACTCAATTATTTGCGAAAAGTTCAGTTCACTGTAAATATATTTATATATAGGACATATGTTGTATCATAACTATAAATATGTCAAATACATTTCTCAAGTTTATATATTATTATATTATTGCGGATTTAATGTGTGTACACACGAAAATGCCAAGTGTGAATAAATCATTCGGATATTGTCACAAGAGTTGACCACTAAAATAGCATTTATATTATACTCACGTTGACATTAAATCATTGTTTTTTATTTGCAATATAATTTATATTATGTATATTATATACCTTACCCATTTTTCCTTGTTGGCTTTGAAATTTTCTAATTACCCGCAATTGCCAAGGTTAATAATAATATAATATATAATTTATTATGAATGAAAAAATTGTACTTACGACAAAATAATTGGTGTTATGGATTGGTAAATCACATACCCTGGGAATTTAATCAAAAATATATAACTATAATTTACATTTTCATAAACAAAACATTTTTACTAAATTCATGACTTCGTTCATCTCCATTTTAATTATGATTGAATTAATTAGTATGTTAATATTTTTATAAAATAAATTGATTCAAACAAAATATAATCAACTTTTTTCATTCGAATTTAGATGATTTGATTTTTCTAAAGTTAGAACAAGTTAAGAAAAACTCGTTCTTACCATCTAGCATATTAAACAAATAAAACCAACAGAGTTACTTTATTGAAGTATATGACACTATTTCGATAATATTATGATGTCTTCTTTATATCGAATCATAATAATTGGAAGATGAATATTATTTATGCGCTTTTTGAATCAGATTTAAAAAATCAATATCATAGTGTCTGTAACCGCTTGATATTTTTTAAATTCAAATTGGTTGGATTTGAATTATAATATCGAATACCATGTTATGGAAATTGTCTTGATTCAAAGTCGAAATTGGTGGGTATTGTTATAATATGTAATACAACACCGTTAAAGTAGGTGTAACCTTCATTATAAAATGACGACAATGTTCCAGAAACCATAATTACATCGACAAAAAAAATCCTCTTAAATATTTATTTTGTTTTGAGCTTTTATGATTTATAATGATACAATAAAAATTATATCAACTTCGAATGTACAACAAAATGTATCTATACATAATACAACGACGAGATTCAATACTAAATATCGGAGTTGTGACTGTTGTGAGTATATTGTTTAGATTGTTTTAGTCACACAATCGTTTATACAATTTTGTTCAATATTTGTTTCTATAGTAATAATAATCGTGGGTCGATGTTATTTTACAGTTACGTATTACAATTATAATTATTATTTTGTCACCCTCCACTTAATGATAAATTATTATCATATAGATAGACGCTCATCAGTTGCATGACGTATAGTATACAATATGATACATTGATACCTTTAATTTAATATTAAATCTGATAATTATTTAATCTTGTCGTTTGTCATTATTAATTTCTCCTCGAATTTAATCCAGACAATGGCATTGTTTTTACTCGATCTTATACAATGCGTGCACAAAGCGGTGTTTAACTCGTAAGACAATAATATATATCGTAATAATTGAAATCGTCGGGACCTCAGACTTATCGCAGTGTTTGATTCGAACAATGGTGCGCGTTTAGAATTGTAATAATAATATAGTACTATAATACTAAGTCATATTCTTGGACCACTTTCAAATGTTATCCTAATGAGCTGAAATCTGACGGTTTAATATAATAGTAAAACGTATTTGCATAATATATTATAGAATATTATTTAATGTGTTTTTAATGACAAAGGCCGTGGGCCCGTTTATTTGGATACAACTTAACCCAAGAGCACTTTGAGAGAATTGATTTCGTCTCTGCAAGTATTGTTTTATTTATTTTTAAGGTAGTTTAATATTGTATGTCTTTGTATAACAATATTAGGTACCACTATGTATATAATATTATCACCCATCGTATTACGGATAATATTGTTTGCAAGTCGACAATATATTGTAATTGTTGTTATCGACGGTTTTTTGGGATAAAGCAAATAATGATATTACGTATATTATAAATTTATGTCTTCCCAAAAACAAATTATGTACACCTACAATGAAAGCAGCTGTACTTAACCTATCACTGTACTAGAAACACGACGTCCTTTGACAGTTATAATCATTTATTCTTATTATTATAACGCCCTTTTATATGGTATTACTATGACAATAAAGTTTAAAATTATTTGATGATCCATTATTATTATTGGCGGTTTTTGGGCCGAAAGCGATCAACCATATTGGCTGTACCTGACCTTATGTTCTTCCCCTAACAACTAATAATATTAGTAGGCACACCTATATAATTATGATAGTTACACTTAAGCTATCACCATACTAGCAGGATGACATCTTTTGCTCGTTATAACTATGATATGTTATTGTCATTATTATTATTATTATTATTAGGTATTATTCTGTGATTTGTAAGAAACGTCCTTCACTTCTTTACGTAATATTAAGGTCATATAGGTGTTAAGACTCATAAAGGTGTTTAATTATCATTCTTGTAACGGTCTACAGTTTCCTTCACCTCCCCATTAAAAAAAGGCCATCTACTTATGCGCAAAACGTCGTTATCGACAAACTTTAAACGTGGGCTTTTGGGAAACACAATAATAATTTTTTATTATTTTAAGTCGTAGTCATAAAACGTACTTAATAATATTATTACTAAGTGTGCGTGTGTGTGTGTATGTGTTCACAGCGTTTCGTATACTCGATTCACGTGCAAACGACGATGGCGCATAAGTACACAATGCTAGTACAGTGGTTCGTTGATGTCGACAATGGCTGTTGTACCTATATTGACAATGGACCACACATTAATTAAACAACAACAATAATCATAATGATACTAAACTTTCGGAAAGCCGTTTATTAACTACTGACGTGCTGTCCTTTTGAAGACATTAGGAGTTTTGAGTGTATAATATTAATAACATTGTTATTACGCTTGGCGATGAAATTGCGTCCCAAATAACCTTGAAAACTTCACCCTTCTACCTGCGATGCAAATAAATAAATAAATAATGGCTTTAAATAATATAATTTAAAATTATGCACTTAACTATAGCTGGAATTATATTATAATTTTTNATGCCCCGGGGGTGGGGGATGGCAGCACTTGCTCTCCGGTCACCGCGACTTGTCCGGAGAAAAATGCCGCCCGGTGGCCGAGGATCGAACCGCGACCGGCTGCGTCGCAGCGGAAGAGTCAGACCACTCGGTCACCTCGTCCCCCATTATAATTTTTATTAGATCCAAAAAAAATCCTAAATACAATATTAGATACATTTTACCGTCTACATTTGACGAGACCAGTCTTTTATTAGCATTATTAGTTTCATATATTTGTTGTTTTAATTTTTAATAATTTTATATTTATTCAATAAATAATGAATATAATATATATATAAATAAATAAATATTGATTTGTAATTATATTTATTTTATACTGCATATTTTTACCTGTATGATTATAAAAATAATTTTTGGAACACAAAACCGTATAGTCATCGTATGCATTACTTTTTTAATTTTAAATTTTGTATTTAAAAAAGAAACCTAAACAATTTATCCATGGCTTAAATACATTTTAAGACCTTGAAAATTAAAATTATATAAAATGTTGTATAAGTAATATAGGTACTTAATATACAGTGTCAATAATAGATTGAAACGGATTTTGAATCTAAAGGGTATCGCATATTTAATATGTCATGGATGGAGCTAGCATGCAAAGTGCATTGAAATCCTAAGCCCAACCCTAATTATTATTATTAACTTAACATGTCTTAATATTATTCTTATATTCTGTTCTGAATAGTTAATTTCGACTTTGTTTTAAATTTAAATTAAATTTTTTCGTACGAGAAAATTAATATTATGATATATGGTGCATATTTTGGTCTTTGAAAGATTTAAAGAGAATAAGAGTTAAAGTACAGCTGTGCAGAGATAAAGGAGGTAGAGATGAATTTGTCATGCCGTGCGGTCAAAACCTTTTTGATTTTTATCGGTCCATAAATTCATGGATAATTTGACGTAATCATTTATCGTCTCGTGTGCCAAGAAAGCATCGTATAATTAAATAGTGTGTTCTACATCGTTGCAGCCAGCCTGCTATGTCAGTAGTGTGTTTTAACGAGTATTGCCATAATAATAATAATAATAATAATAATAATAATAATAATAATAATAATAATAACAATAATAATAACAATAATTTTAATGATGAACAATGTTCTATTATGGCGTACAAAAATATCATGTTATGGCTTCATTTTCAAACACCGCAAATAATAAAAATAATTATAATATTGTGATTAACAACTCGATATTATGCTTTATTTGTTATTTTATTTTAGGAATTTTTGGGAATCAATATTCAAGTCAAAAGCCGTTTCGTCAAACGTCCAATTACAATTGCTTCTATGTACTATTTACAATTTTGAAAATCTTTTTACGTATGCATGATTTTTTCAAAGTTAAAAAACTTTTTTTTGTCGAAGACAAATACAAGCGGTGGTGGACATACCACCTGCGGAGCAAAAATTGTACTGTTATTGCCTATCATATACATGACTTACTGATACTGTTCAACAGATCCCTCCCGTGGTGATTAATAATAATAATATATCGTTATTGCCTGTCCCATATGCGTAGCTACAGGTACTAACTGTCCTACGAATTCGATATTTTTATAATTAAACGTGAAAAACGGTTAATAAAAATCCGTATCACGCAGCTCATATGCGTTTGACGCGTTACTCTGCACAATTTTTATTAAATCTCGACGTGACTGAAATGCAGCGTTTGAGCGGAAAATTGTATTCGAAAACTACGCATCGTTATTGGATTTAAAATTAACTGTATCATAATGTAGTTGGCGACAAAATACCTTATGTCTTATTATGTCGTATTCAAATAGAATCGATCGAAAAACGGTATGAAATTCGTAATATAATATTTGGGAATAAAGTGTATAATATTATGTTATATATTATATATTTATGTATACGTCATATCTACGGTGTACACCGTAGGTGATAAAATTTAATGCGGTGAACATAATATTAATAATGCACGGCGGGCGATGTTTATGACTATCGTTTTATACACGACATATACAATAATATACAAACATATAATATATAAAATATATATTAGGACAAATTATATTAGCAGTGTGTGTTCATAATAATAATATATGTCATAAAAGTACAGTAATATTATAATAATGAAAAAAGTCGAATCGATTATCGATCTGCTCGAACTGCAATATAATAATATTGTAATACGCTTGGGCGAATAAAGTTTTGTACTAAATAACGTCTAAAATATATTATAACTATAAATGAATAGTGTTAATAATTTTAAAAAATAAATATGTCGCATGTACATTACGATAGTATTGGAACGAATCTGTTACTTGTTTCACGCTAATGTAAATTACTTTTTAATTTAAAAATGCCCGGTTTTTTTTTTTACAAGATGACAGAAATGCATTTCTTCCATAGACATTATCCTGATGACTGTATGAACTGTATGATGCCATCCAGATTGGCGATAGTTACTTGTATTAAGGACATCACTACAAAGTTAGGTTATTTAGCTCCAGTGTATATCACTATTATTATTATCGTTACCGTCGTATTATGACTATTAAATTAATTGCATGTTCACTCAATCTTAAACGTTATAGTGATATCGCATTTTAAATTTTGTATAGTTGTGTGTGTGTGTGTGTGTGTGTGTGCGTGTGTGCGTGCGTGTGTGCGTGCGTGTGTGTGTGTGTGTGTGTGTGTGTGTGTGTGTGTGTGTATAAATTTAATTTCCCCAAAACTGAGCATTTTATATAATATTATATAAAATGATCAGTTTTGGGGAAATTAAATTTGTATGATAGTTAAATATTACATTACACGTTGTCGTCGTTACTGTTACTATATTTTTTTTCATTGTAATAATGACGGGACTTATTACTTCTTAAACAATTACAACAATTGTAATTGTAATTATGGTTTCAAAGGTTGTTAAACACGTTTTTGATCTGTATAAGACTTCCTTTCCCTCGTGCATTTAATTTTCTATAATATCTTATAAATTTGTTGACGCGAATTTCAAAATACCGAATGGAATATAAATTGTATTATTAAATCAGTAGCTGGTATTACGGTATACGTTTCAAACCTATAAGTTGCACAATATTTACTCATTGAAACAATTACAACGAATATAGGTATATCAAATCTAGGATGGTTTATTTATTAGTAAAAAAAAAGTTAAATTAATTTAATAAGTGTGTCTTTGAACGTAGGGTAATATCGAAATCAGATAGAAACATAATTTTTTTTTTACTATTTTTACTATTCATCTAAAATAAGACGTTCCAACATTTCTATACCTTATTTTCTGTATCAATTGATGTATCATACTAATTTTATTATAGCTTACTTTTTTTAGAACATAACGAATGTACTTAATAATAAATAATTCCATTAATATTATGAAGGTGAATATTTTAATATAATACAAAGTAACTTGGTAGTTAATACCTACTAATAGTGATAATCGATACAGATAATAATAATGTAAGAAAATCATTTAATAAGATCGTTCGGATGACCACACCAACCGCACGTTGGTGTGAACGTAATTTACTTGTGTTGATTGAAGTAAACCTGTTGATTTTGTGTGTGAAGTATGAATATTTTCAGTCATGTAACTCATGTAATATTGATTTTTTTTTTAATTTAGAGGTACTTGTATGAATTTTTAATTTGTCATAGGACATTTGATATTATTTCTAATTCTTTGACAATACTAATGACGTATAACTCATTACAATTATCGTATAGACTTAATATGTTTATTTTTGTTTAACAAGTGATACAGAGATGCAATTTAAAAGCATGTATAGTTACACATGGATACCTAATGAAGAGAGCTATCCCCTAATATGTCGTTCTTGCAATTCCTTAATCACAGTCAAACACATCATCATCCACCAATAAATCTTCACGGATTTCAGAAAAGAATGTAAAATCCCAGACAATCTATACGAAGCCATAAGACCTTACGCTGATACACAAAATATAATCTTCTTCTTCTTCTCCTTTAGTTTCGGCCTTTAAGACCATACTGACAACGATAAACTTTTCCACCTATCTCTGTCCACCACTGCTTCTCTCCATTTTGTACCGGGCTCTTCTTTCAACTTCTCTTTTCACACCATCTTCCCATCTTAGCTTAGGTCTACCTAACAGTATTTATTCAATACGGTCTTCTTCGGTCACCCGTTTGACTAAAGTATACTGTTTGAGCCAAGCATAGCCTGTCCAACTTAGTTTTCGTTTGGCAATCTCTCACTATATTCGGTCTCTGAAAGAGTCTTTGGAGTTTCTCATTATGAAGTTTTCTCCATTTTGTAGTTTGGCTATCGAAAATGGGACAGACAATTTTCCGTAAGACTTTTCTTTCGAATATCATCAATCTCTATTATTCTGTTTATTTCTCTAAACAGAACATAACAACAAAACATACTCACCTTTAAAAAAAAAATGAAATATATAACTTCATTTAATTTAAATTCATAACTATATATTCTTACTATTGTAAGCTTATACTAATAACCTTGTACTTGATGCTGTAACAATAAAAAAAGCATGTATATTCAGTACGATCGATTTGAAATAATACGTATGTCAATGCGAATAAGTCTCAACTTCACGCCCGTCCGTTATTAGATTAGTGAACTAGAGCCCTCAATTTGTGTATTATAATATCTAAATATCTTAAAATAGAATATGATTATAACAACAACATTGTTAATATTTTTAAATATAAATTAATTTACATTATGACGTAGGTACACATATATAAATATATTACTATAATTACCTTTTGATTCTGTCCGTTAATAATGTAAAATTTAAGGTTGTTGCACGCCAGTGATTTCCTGTAATCTCTCAGAATTTCGTATACCTCAGCGCGAACGCGATTACCTCAAACCATAATTAATATAATTTGATGATTAACTAAACCAGCGTCCGTCATATTCTTATCGAAAA